GGTTTGTTAGGGCCCCCCCCCCCACGTCCCACCCCCGCCTGATCGCGCAAGGCGCAAGGCGGCGATTCCACCGATGGACGTTCTCTCCCTCCGGCCTCCGCGCCTTCCTGTCTGCTGAAAGTCTCGCCGAGCTGCAGAAGTCCTGGCCGAATGGCAGAGAACACGAAGCGCGACACCGGCGGCGGGGGATGGCGAAGGGGTCCCTTGCAGGCCGAGGGGAAGAGGGGGACTCCGTGAGGCGGGCGGGCTGCCCCCCAGGCGCACGAGGCCGAGCCCCCCGGCCCACGCCCACCCCCGGGAGCCGCCGCGGTGCAAACTCCGAGGTAAGAGAGGCTTCCTCTTGCTGCTTCGGGAGAGAGGAGGGGGCCGGCCGGCCGGGAGGCATCATCCTCCTGCAATTTTGCCAGCAGCGCTCCCTCTAAGCGGTGGAGCCTTGTGAGCAAAAATCCTACTTTGTGAGCCACTGGCGTTAAAAGTTGTGAGCGGGCCACTTGGCTGCTGCATAAATCTGTTTGCTCTGGAGCCCTCCCTTCCTGGGCTGAGACAAAAATGGGTGATCCGGAGGCTGAGAAACTGTGCGCTGGCTCACACTGACTCAGCTTAGAGGGAACGCTGGTTGCCGGCCGTGCTCCCTCTAAGCGGTGGAGCCTTGTGAGCAAAAATCCTACTTTGTGAGCTCCTGGCGTTAAAACGTTGTGAGGCGGGCCACTTGGCTGCTGCATAAATCCGTTTGCTCTGGAGCCCATCCTTCCTGAGCTGAGACAAAAATGGGTGAGCCAGAGGCTGAGAAACTGTGCGCTGGCTCACACTGACTCAGCTTAGAGGGAACACTGGTTGCCAGCCGTGCTCCCTCTAAGCGGTGGAGCCTTGTGAGCAAAAATCCTACTTTGTGAGCTCCTGGCGTTAAAACGTTGTGAGCGGGGCCACTTGGCTGCTGCATAAATCAGTTTGCTCTGGAGCCCTCCCTTCCTGAGCCGAGAAAAAAATGTGTGAGCCGGAGGCTAAAAGAGCTGTGAGCTTGCTCACACTGACTCAGCTTAGAGGGAACACTGGACTTGCCCGCTCCAGGCGGGGAGACTGCTGGAGATTT